CGGGGGTGCCAGTGGAGGCTTGGGGGTGGTTTTCCTTGGCTCTGGAATGAGCGGAGAGGAGCCACATCAGAGTGGTTGATCCCTGGGGATGGGGGTGAGAGGGGTAGGGGTTCAGCCTCACCTCTGCAGGCAACCATGGCGTGCTGTGTGCAGTTTTCCAGCTCCTGGTTGCATTCCAGCTCACCCATTGGCTTCCTGCACCTCTTGGACAGCATGTGTGGCTCCTTCCCACTGGGAATGACAAGCTGGAGGGCCTCAGAGATGGGGGGACCACAGCTCACCCGCTGGCAGATGTGTTCCAGCACAGCCTTGTTCAGGGTGCCCCAGCACATGCGGATCCACTGCTTATCCAATCTCACTTCCACTATCCCAGTACAGTTGCAGCTGCCACCAGTGAGCCTCACGTCCAGCACTGGGGGGAAAACACCACCATTAGGGCCTTTCCTACTCTTCCCAGGGTGTTCCCACCCTGGGAATGATGAGAAAGCCCTTATTGGGGGGTGTCTTGGGAAAAGGGGCAAGGAAGTGGAGTGTGGGCGTCAAGGGCAGGCAGGAATCCCAGCTGGGACCACACGATGCTTCCGGATGATGCAATTTCAGCACCTCCCATACATCGTGGGGTCCCCAAGGTGCTGTCCCACCAAATTCTCACCTGTCTGGGTCCGGGTGGCTCTTCCGTGGTCAGGGATGGCTACAAGAAAGAGAGAGGACAGGGTGTCAGTCCTGCTTCCCACCCTGGAGCACTCCCCAGTTTGGGGCAGCGGCTCCGGCGCTTGCCTGGTTATGGTTGTTTTGGGGGAGAAAGGGAATTTTTTTGGGGAAAAGAGGATTTTGGGGGGAGAAAAGGGATTTGATGCCAGCCCAGCCAGGGGTTAATTAGGGCTGCAAAACCACAAGGGTCTGGTTAATTACGACTAATTAGAGTCACTTCTGGGCGGAAGGGTCAAGGGTCAGCCAAGCAGTAGAGGTGGCTGCCACGTGGAGCAAGGGGCAGTGGGAATGGCAGGAGCAGGCGG